CAGTATTAGCTGATCTCGTATTGTATAGGCTTTCCATACAATGAAGGGTCAACTCATACTAGAACTTTATCTTTGTGTACAATGAAATTAAATTTGCGACATATAATTTTATGTTCATTTAATTAATGACAAGTTAATATTAAATTATGACTGAAAATTTTATTGCTTAATTCTCGTCCGATAATAGTTTGTTTTACTCTAACAAAATCGCTTTGACCTCGTGTTCCCGCGTAACCGCGAGCCGTAGTGGGCGAACGAATGGCGCGGGGAAGTGGGGGCGAAATTAGAATTTGAGCTGAGGTAATATAGGCCCTTAATAAATAATAAACTGCAAATCAATCAGATCAGCAAGTCATGATGATTGTACCAAAGTGCAAGTTTGTATAATCGGTATAAACTGTCCATTCAATTTTAAACTAACTTCACGAAGAGCTAAAAAGGAACTGGATAGCAATGCATTGTAAACTCGTTTTTTTGATACAAATGATTTTTGTACGTGGTAGATCCACGCTGCAGCTATATTATGGTTTTAGCATGAATGGGTCGGCTCGATCGGGGAAGGACCACGCTCTTACAGAATGCCAGTGTAAAATAGCAGCTTAATGCTGCTGTGTTTCGCATGGTGAGTGAAGAGAACCGGAGACCCTTTTTACTGGAAAAGATGGACTGAGATGGAATGCCCATCTTAGTTCTCAGGGGTGACAACGCATGTGCATTTTGATTCTTAATTGAGGATAGATGTCTATGGGCCACAGCATCCACTTTCTATCAGGTGGACTGTGTGCTCGTTTGTCACTCTTATTCTATTAAAAAAAAATACAAATCTTGCAATCTATTTAAAACTAACCTTCTGATGAGGTACAAACTTGAAACTTTCAGCATAGCTTAGAACTGGAAATGTAGTAAAATATTATTATATCAGGTCGTGGACAAAATTACCTCATTTATTCAATACATACGACATTTTCTCGGGAAAACGTCGCTGAGTACCGGAACAAACTTGTGTCTGAAGTCGAGTCTTTGCTGAACAAAGTCTCGGATTGGGGACGACTAAATCTAGTCCAATTTAATCCTCAGAAGACACAAGTTTGCGCGTTTACCGCTAAAAAGAACCCCTTTGTCGTATCTCCTCAGTTTCAAGGCACTCCCCTTCTTGCCTCAGCCAGTATCGGTATCCTCGGAGTCGACATATCGAGTGACGTGCAGTTTCGTGGTCACTTGGAAGGGAAGGCCAAATTGGCCTCTAAAAAGCTTGGCGTGCTCAGCAGAGCGGGACAGTATTTCATGCCGGCACACCGCCTGCTACTTTACAAGGCGCAGGTTCGGCCTCACATGGAATACTGTTCTCATCTTTGGGCCGGGGCACCCCAGTACCAGCTCCTTCCACTTGACCGCATCCAGCGCAGAGCGGTTCGAATCGTCGACGACCGAGTTCTTTCTGATCGGCTCGATACACTGGCACTGCGTAGAGATGTTGCATCTCTTTGCGTATTTTATCACATTTATCACGGGGAGTGCTCTGAGGAATTGTTCGGACTAATTGCAGCCGCTCAATTTCACCATCGCACATCGCGGCAGAACTCCCGATACCATCCACACCATCTGGATGATTGGCGGTCCACCATTGTGCGATTTAGAAGATGTTTTCTTCCTCGCACGACCTCCTTGTGGAATCGATTACCATCAGCGATTTTTCCGGACCGATACGACTTAGGGACCTTCAAGAAAAGAGCGTACTCCTTTTTAAAAGGCCGGCAACGCATCTGCGATTCCCCTGGTGTTGCAGTTGTTCATGGGCGGCGGTAGTCACTTACCATCAGGTGAGCCGCATGCTCGTTTGCCCCCTCTCCTATAAAAAAAAATACAGCCTATGAAAGGTCCACTGCTCCATATCCTCCCCATAGCTGCCTCAGGGATCCCCCCTATGAGGCGGCTATAGTTGCTTTGCTATGGTTGTCACGTTTGGCAGACTGGTTGACATAGTTTTATGGGTTCTTCGAGCTAAATTCCTTGGTTACTCCAGTTCTACTTCGGATATCCTCATTTTTAAGTCTATCACGCAGAGAAATTCCGAGCATAGCCCTCACTATAGCTTCCTGAGCAACTTTGACCTTCTTCATACGGCCAGCAGTAAAAAACGATGTCCCAGTTCCATAGAAAACTGGGAACAAGCACAAGTTAGTTATACCTGTTACTGATTCCAAAGCGTCAGTAATCCCTTCATGGGGCTAACTAAGTGCCAGAAAATGTGCAGAAATTATCTATCAAAAGGCTTAAAATATTTATTAAGCAAAAATTGTTTAGTAAGGGTTATTATACTACTAAAGAGTACATGATTAATTATAACTCCTGGGAATGAGGTAATCGCTACCATGCTGTTTCTAAATGTTTTCTTATCGAGTATATAAATATTATATTCTAAGTTAATGCTTAAAAAAAGTCCCGCTGGGTTTCTTGCTGGTCCTTCCCAGGACAGAGGTTTTTTTTTGCAAACTAGTGACAAAAGTTAAAAATGACTCGATAAGATTTACATTTAATCTATATTGAATAAAAATGATTCTATTATATTCCCTTCTATTCCTTATGTCACCACTGGCAACACGCACTGGTTTTGTTGTTTCTTGTTTTCAAGTTTGAGGTAAACCCGACTAGAAGATACTAGGTAATCTCCTGAACGTTGCCCAGCTGAGTCTCGGTCGAAGTTGGTATAAAGTTGAATTGACTTGTGATAGATAGGCTTCATCAATCCAAGGTCAAATCCGATTCCAGTGACTAGAAGACTGCAATGAAGTGGACGATATGAATGACAGGCTCGTGGAATTTGTCCATGCGGTTGGAGCTAAGTTTTGCAAGACCCGCCGCAGAAAAACACAAAAACTCTGCGATCACACTCGTAACCTCATGACTGTTAGACGGGAAGGAAATGTATGAGGATATATCTATAGCAATACATTCCTCCTAAACCCAATATACGGTGTTAATGGGAGACTTCAACGCAAAACAACGCACAAGAGAGAACGGTGAGTTGAAGGTAGGAACATTCAGAATAGGGCAACGGAACCTAACAGCTATCAAGCTACAGTCTTCAGTAGATTTGACAGCATACAGGCAACTGAACAGACAGATCTCCAAATGCATGCGGCGGGACTTACGCAACTTTAATACTACTTGTATTGAAGAAGCGATCGAGCGGAACCAGGGCTCCAAAGTCTGCTAGAGATCTGTTTGCCAGAAAGAGCCAACTATGGAAGCTGAAGACCGAATGTGGCAGCATCGTTTCCGGGACACCTGAGTTTTTGTGTCAGATTGAGAGGTTCTGTCGGCAGCTGTACACATCATCGTTGGAGCCACACGCTAGTGTGAGTAACGATCCAAGAGCAAGTCTTATCCGACACCATTCCGATGATATCCCGGACTTCAGTCTGAGCGAGATTAGAATGAACCTTGAAAACTGCAAGTCCCCGGGCGAGGATGAAATTACAGCGGAACTTCAGAAAGCGGGTGGAAAACCGGTACTTGTTCTTACGTTCCTTCAGAAGCTCTTTAATTCCGTCCTCCATGGTGGCACTACTTCGGAAGGTGACAATGTTCTCTTGAAGAACTACAGACCGATTTCCCTTCTGAGCCTCGTCTACGTGCTGTTTTTGAGAGTCATTACGAATCTTCTCGCACGCAGACTCGACGACTTCCAGCCTTCCAAACAAGCCGGTTTTCGAAAAGGCTTTGGCACCATAGACCACATACATACCCTTCGGCAAATTGTACAGAAAACCTAGGACTACACTAAGGCTACAATGGCTATCCGAGTACAGAACCAGAGTAAGAAATCCATCCAACTGCAGAGAGATATAAGACAGGCTGACGTTATATCCCCTAAACTCTTCACCGATACATTGGAAGACGTTTTCAAGCTATTGGACTGGAAAGGATAGTATTATCATCAATGGCGAGTACATCACTCACCTTCGATTTGCCGGCGATATAGCCCTTATGGCAGAATCGCTGGAGGACCTCAATGACCTCAATATTGTATCCCAACGGATAGGTCTTAAGATGAACATGGACAAAATGAAGATCATGTATAACGTCCATGTCACACCTATGCCGGTAGTTGTTGGGAGTACTAAGCTCAAAGTTGTTGACGAGTATGTTTATCTGAGACAAACAGTTCGACTAGGTAAGTCCAACTTCGACCGAGAGGTCAATCGGCAGATTCAACTCTGCTGGGCAGCGTTCGGGAAATTACGACACATCTTCTAGTCAGGTATACCTCAAAACTTGAAAACGAGATTGTACAACCAGTACTTGTTGCCAATGATTACTTATGGATCTGAGACGTAGTCCTTCACTGCTGGCCGTATGAGGAAGCTCAAGGTCGCTCAGCGAGCTATGGAGAGGGCTATTTTCGGGGGTTCTCTACGTGATAAATTTAGAAATAATGATATCCGCAATAAAACCAGAGTGACCGACATAGCCTAACGGAGTAGTAAGCTGAAGTGGCAATGGGCCAGCCACATAGCTGGAAGAACCGACAACCGATGGGGAAAAAAGGTTCTCGAGTACCTCTCGTACCGGTAGGCGAAGTGTAACATGACCCCCCGCAGGGAGTTCGAGGGATGCAGGTGGCTCAGGATCGTGCGTTGTGGCACTCCTTGTCAAGTCCACTGCCTATGTTCAGCAGTGGACTTGTGAAGGGCTGTAATGATGATGATGATGATGATGGCATAGGCCTTAATTATGATGAATCAGAGGTTATTCTTTTTTTACTCTACTATTATAATTCTTATTAAAGTGTGGCGTTTTCTTATTTCACCCCAAGACTACAACTGATGATAATAAATTATCTGTAAGTTGCCGTGATGTGTATTTTACTCCACTTATGAATGAATTGAGGCGAAGCATAACCTTACTCTGCAGCCCATTCATGATAGTGTACACATCTATTAGTCTTAAGTACTTTCCCAAAGATGTCGCTGTAGTCCAATCTTCGTATGTTGCAGGGCGAGGTGATCGCGAACTACTGCTCCATGTGGTTCATAGGGCTCGTCTTCGAGAAAACCAATGTGAATGTGGACCTGACGTATGATATATCATCGTTCACCAAAGCAGTTCACTACCAGGCAGAGAACACTAGCATGCTGCGTGAGGGAATGAGCATTGAGGTGATGTTTCTAATTTTAAAAGTTATGGTAAGGGGCAATCCATTAATTACATCACACGTTAAAGAAGGGGGGGGGGGGGGTTTGTATTCAGCCAAACTTTAAAATATTGTTAACTCGATCTATATTTATAAGTTTTATGTAGGTTTAAGTCGTCGGCGAGTGCACGCTTGCCACCCAACAGTTTTTTATTAAAGGATATTTTTAATATAAATTCAAAAAAATTGGAAAAACTGTTGTTTTAATTTAATTATGTGACGTCACACCAGAAGAATTGTAACCACCTGTGACAAGGACGGGAGGGGGAAGGGGGTCTAAAAACCAAAACATTTGTGTGACGTAATTTATGGACCCCCCACACTAAAGAAATAGCCTACATAGACATATACATAATAATAGACATTTTTGACACAGATATTTTTCTTTATTTTCTTTCATGGGTATTACACCATCATCAATCCACCATCATCAACATCAAAATATATATACTGGTTCACATATCGAGACCGAGAAGAAATGACAAGAAAGCACTTTTTGCGAACTATTCTTTTTTGTTTAATTTTTTTTATTTGAAGGTAAGGAAATATTTAACGTTCGGCGCATCTGCAATCTAATGACGATTGCAGCCCCAGAAACAGGCATCGTTGGCCAACGATTGCCAAGTTTCATGCCAACTAGGTGCGTCAAGTGCCTAGGTGACCACGGCACCACTGACTGTTCCCGCACGCATGAGACGGTTGAACCTCCGATCTGCGTCAATTGCCTCGAAGAAGCACACCCCGCAAACTATCGACACATGAAGCTTCCGAGTGATATTCGACAGTTGATTGCAGCGAAGAACGCGGCCTTAAGACAATATGATCACCATCGTACTATAGATAACAAATTCCGACTGCGCAACCTCCAAAACGAGGTCAAACAGCGCCTTACCGAATTTAGACTAGACATAATAAGTGGGATAATCTGCTGGAAGTTATCAAACCATCTCATACTGCCTTCTGGCAGTTGACCCGAGCTCTGAAAGCAGAACAATCTTCACCTATGCCGCCTCTTATTAGGCCAGGAAACCCCGCTCTCTCACCTTGGACGATTCTGAAAAGGCCGAATGCCTCGCGGACAATTTAGAGAGCCAACTCCCTCGAGCAGACCTACAGATTCCGCTCACCTTGCAGAGGTCGAAGTGGAGGTCGAGCGTAAGTCTGCACTACCATCTTCGGGCAACCCCTTAGATGCTGTGACAGCCGACGAAGTCACAGAAGTAAAAAGCCTCAAAAAGAAATAAGCACACGACCCCTATGGCATTAGCAACAGGGTACTGAAATCTCTCTCCGCGCCGCTCATATACCTCCTATTAGGCATATTCAACGCTCTTCTCTCCAGCTATCTTTCCCGGATGCCCGGAAAGAGGCAGACGTAATAGGAATCCCGAAACCGGGGAAACCGCGCAACTTAGCCTCCAGTTACAGACCAATCAGTTTCCTCAGCACGCTGGGGAAAGTTTACGAACGACTCATATTGGACGGCCTTCGTAAACACGTCTTTGCTAACAAGCTTCTTCCAGAAAAGCAGTTCGGCTTCAGACCTGAACTCTGGTGCACCGACCAATTATTGCTTCGCCTCATAGAATACACCCTGAAAGGATTCAACCTCCCAAAAAGAATCGTGAAACCATTATGACAGGACGGGAAGGGTCTCTTCTTCGATGTCGCAAAAGCGTTTGACAAAGTCTGAAACTACGGTTTGCTTTACAAGCTATATAAACTCAACGTGCCTGATAGGCTCACCCACATCATCAGAGCCTTTCTTGCCAATCGCATCATATAGAGTGTACTCGCTCCACAAAACGTCCCCTCAAGGCTGTAGTTCCACAGGGCTCCGTCCTGTCCTCACTCCTTTTTACACTCTTCACGAGTGACACCCCGAAGGAACCCAATAGTGAACACTGTTCTTTTTCGAGAAGGCCGAGACACATCCCAACCCGCTAGTGGTAAACGCAGCCACCTACACTCCGACTCCGAACGTTATTGAGGGCCTCCGGAACCCCCGTAACGTTTCAATCGAACCCCCCGTTCCGCTAGATTTCGACGACCGAAATGTCGCCCGCCAGTCACACACAATCACCTAGTGCCACAAACACTGTTAAGACAACAACGGATGGGACGCAGCGAGTCCGCAGACGGGCGCGCCGCACATCCCTCCACACCGTACACCTTTACCGCCCAGAACATCGAACGATACAAGTTAGCCATCAGAACCGGGGCCCGTCACCCCATATAACAATTCATTTATGTGCACTTTAATCTGTCGTAGGTAAACATCGAAAATATTCAAATATTTTAATATAAAAATATTTAGCATTTTTTATACGCTACTTACGTTGTTATCTATACAAATAAATAAAATTGAAGTGTCTGATAGTAATATCAAAATAACAGTTTTTTACTAAATGCATATGAAATTATATACAATACTTATAACAGAAACACAGTTTTTAAATTTTTTGTCTGTCTGTCTGTTTTTCCAGGCTAATCTCCGAAACGGCTGGACCGATTTCGACGAGACTCACTGACAGATAGCTGAAGTTATAAGGAGTAACTTAGTAACTTAGTATTTTAGAAAAAGAATTAGGGTTCAGCGCAACATTTTTAAAACCCTAAGTTACACGCGGGTGAAGTCGCGGGGAACAGCTAGTTCAGAATATTTTTATACGTGGTAGAGCCATGCTGCAGCTATATTACTCGTATAGTTGAAGCACGAATGGGCCGGCTCGACCGGGGAATGACCACGCTCTCACAGAATACCAGCGTAAAATGGCAGCATAAGGCTGCTGTGTTTCGTATGGTGATTGTAGAAACCCTTTTTACTGGAAACGAGGCATTCCATCTTAGTCACGAGTGACAAACCATCTGCATTTTGATTCGTATTCGAGGATAGATGTGGGGCACAGAAACCACTTACCATCAGGTTGACTGTGTGCTCGTTTGTAACACTTATCGTACAAAAAAAATATCTTTTTACAGCTCACGGCCTTTGAGCCCTGAGACCGATGAAGCTGTAAAAGCCAAAAAGACTAACAGCATTAACATCATCAGAAAGCAGTCTATGATTGATGAAAAAGAAATGTTACGTAACGCTAAATGAGACACATTAATAAATTCATGATTTTATAGGCACAATGATAATAAACATAACGTTGACTTTGCCCTACCTAACCTGCTACTGCTACGTGAATTATGTTAATGGTGTATAGTTAGACTGCCTGAACGTGATCTGACTTATCGATATGCAGTCAATATTAAAGTTTGAGAATATATATTGTTGAGCGCCACCATTAATGCCTGGTACATGGCAACACTAAATACTACTAGCGCCCTCTAGTATCGTGTAGCAGAACTAGGAGAGTCAAGAGCCTTCTAGAAATTTTCATGCAAGAACTTTCTATAACTTTCGAGACCTAGTCAGTCGGGACCGATATGTACTCGAACATTCTAGATGTTTCTACAGTAAAAGGTTCTGGAAATTATCTGAGGCCCTATATAAGGCCGGTATAGACCACGACCCAATCAGTGTTGAGTTGGCAATACAAGCGAATACTTCGAAGCGATACAACTGCGAACTAAAGTGATTAGTAGTACAATTGTGTTTTGTTATTAGTGTGGTTTTAAGTTGTAATTAGTGTTTAGTAATTAAAGTGTCAATTTTGGTAATTAATTCTGCAGTTCTTAATTGTCTCGAACCTCAAGCTAGTAACAATTGGTGTCAGAAGTGGGATCAAATCATGCCGATTTTACCAAAGGACGATATGGAGAGTATCCGTACCCGAAGTAACGCCAGCAGGAGTCGGACCAGAGACGATTTGGTGGTGCAACGTCGCAGACGTCGGAGGGCCAGCTGCCGACCACGGAGGCTCGCCCGTCAGCAGCTCCTGCATCTGTAGTACCTGAATTAGGTGCTCTGATGATGATGCTGCAGGAGCAGGTCTGCCGACAGGAGGACCAGGCCCGTCGGCAGCGCGGTATAGAAGAGAAGATGGTCTTCATGAAGGACTTCACGCTACCTTCGGGAAAGAGATAAGGGAGGTGAAGGATAGGGTTGCTCTACATGACAACCACCTGTCGAAAGCTGAAACCCGAATCAACCAAGTGAACAATCGGGTTGACAACGTGATGGTTGACATGAAGAAAACGCTGGACGACCTCAAACTTGGGGAAGAAATTACAGCTCCCGTGATAGCTACAACACCTTCGCTGCGTGGATTCCAAGTGCCGCCGTTCGACGGGACTTCTTTCTGGTCGGCATACAAAGTTCAGTTCGAGGCTGTCATGAAGACGAACGGCTGGAATAAAATTCAGGCCATGACTGCTCTAACCCTAGGCCTACGCAACCAGGCCTTAACTGTTCTGGAGGCTCTCGGTAAGGAAGTAACTTCGAGCAGCTCCTTGAGGCATTGCAGGGGAGATATGGCGACGCTCACCTGGTACACGTCTTTCGTGCGCAGTTTAAAAGATCTAGTGCAACGCAGCAACGAAAACCTGCAGCAGTGGGCCCTTGAGGTGGAGAAGCTGGTTCGAAAAGCATACCAGTCTGTACCTGCGCTGATTGAAGGGAACCTGGTGCAGACATTCATCGACGGCATCCGCGACCTTGAAGTCAGGGCTGCTATGAGGCTCGGGCACTACGAGACGTTTAGGACGCGTTGGCCCATGAACTGGAGGTGGAAGCCGTGCGGCAGGACCATCGTTCCCATCGCGTCATGGAGGTTGTAGTAGCTACAGTTTGCGACCGCAATAAAGGATACAGCCCTAGGTTTTACGGCTGTGGGGAAAGGGGCCATTTTCGATCTAGCTGCCCTAAGCGAATTGTAGAAAGGGAAGGTGATCGATCTCGAGAGGGTAGTGCGGCTAACAGCACCGCCCAGCAGCAGCAGCAGGAATACGACTTTGTGATTGAACATCGCAGCGGGATATCTCATGGCAACGCAGATGTATTGTCAAGAAGACCTT